GACCCACAAACGAATGGCCAACTAATCTTTGACAAAGCAGGAAACAATATCCAATGGAATCAAGACAGTCTCTTCAGCAAGTGGTGCTGGGAAAACTGGACAGCGACATGCAGAAGAATGAACCTGGACCACTTTCTTACACCATACACAAAAATAAACTCAAAATGGATGAAAGACCTCCATGTAAGACAGGAAGCCATCAAAATCCTCAAGGAGAAAGCAGGCAAAAACCTATTTGACCTCAGCTGCAGCAACTTCTTACTCAACACGTGTCTCTCTGGAGGCAAGGGAAACAAAAGCAAACATGAACTATTGGGACCTCATCAAAATAAAAAGCTTCTGCACACTGAAGGAAATAATCAGCAAAACTAAAAGGCAACTGACAGAATGGGAGAAGCTATTTGCAAATTACATATCAGATAAAGGGTTAGTATACAAAATTTATAAAGAACTTATCAAACTCCCCACCCAAAAAACAGAATCCAGTGAAGAAATGGACAAAAGACATGAATAGACCCTTCCCCAAAGAAGACATCCAGATGGCCAACTGACACATGAGAAAACGCTCAACATCACTCATCAGGGAAATACAAATCAAACCCACCTCACTCCTGTCAAAAGGGTTGACATTATCAACTTAGGCAACGATAGATGTTGGGAAGGATGCAGAGAAAGAGGATCTCTTTTGTACTGCTGGTGGGAATGCAAACTTGTGCAGCCACTCTGGAAAACAGTATGGAGGTTCCTCAAAAAATTAAAAATAGAACTACCCTACGACCCAGCAATTGCACTACTAGGTATTTATCCAAGGGATACAGGTATGCTGTTTCAAAGGGGCACATGCACCCCAATGTTTATAGCAGCACTATCAACAATAGCCAAAGTATGGAAAGAGCCCAAATGCCCATCGATGGATTCATGGATAAAGAAGAAGTGGCATATGTATACAATGGAGTATTACTCAGCAATCAAAAAGAATGAAATCTTGCCATTTGCAACTACCTAGATGGAACTAGTGGTTATTATGCTAAGCAAAATTAGTCAGAGAAAGACAAATATCATATGACTTCACTCATATGAGGACTTTACGAGACAAAACAGATGAACGTAAGGGAAGAGAAGCAAAAATAATATAAAACAGGGAGGGGGACAAAACATAAGAGACTCTTAAATATAGGAACAAACAGAGGGTTACTGGAGGGGGTGTGTGAGGGGGGATGGGCTAAATGGGTAAGGGGCGTTAAGAAATAAACTCCTGAAATCATTGTTGCACTATATGCTGACTAACTTGGTTGTAAATTAAAAAAATAAATAAAATGGTAAAAAAAAGAAATATAAAAGAATATTGAATTATTTAATAACTTAAAATGTAATCTTAATGCTGTGATGTCATAAATATTTGGTACATGAACAAAAAGAAAGATTTTTAAATCTTGGTAAGGCTAATGAGGAACTAATATATTGTAATTTTTCTTATTTGACTACTGTTTGGGCACATATGAAAAGAACCATTAAAATGATTATTTTTTATCCAATAATGTAATTTTTGGAAATTTATTTTAGGGAAAGAATTTAAAGGAATAAGAATATCATGTGTAGGAATGCCTGGGTGACTCAGTTGGTTAAGTGTCCAACTCTTGATGTCCACCCAGGTCATGATCTCATGGTTCATAAGATGGAGCCTTGAGTCAGGCTTCACGCTGACAGTGCAGAGCTTGTTTGGGATTCTCTCTGCCCCTCACCTGCATGTACATGTGCATGCACATGCTCTCTCTCTCTCTCAAAATAAGTTAATTAAAAAAAAAAAAGCACAGGGACGCCTGGGTGGCTTAGTCAGTTGAGCATCCGACTTCAGCTCAGGTCATGATCTCGCCATTCATGAGTTCGAGCCCCACGTCGGGCTCTGCGCTGACAGCTCAGAGCCTGGAGCCTGCTTCAGATTCTGTGTCTCCTCCTCTCTCTGCCCCTCCCCTGCTCATGCTCTGCCTCTCTCTGTCTCTCAATAATAAATAAATGTTAAAAAAATTTTGAAAAAAAGCACATCATGTACAGATCTTTAGAAGCAATATGTTATATAAATTATGTATAACATAAATTAAAAATGTAATTACATATACTGTATGTTTATCTTTTTTTTTTAATATTTATGTATTTATTTTGGGAGAGAAAGCATGAACGGGGAAGGTATGGGCAGAGAGAGAATCCCAAGCAGCTCCATGTTGTAAGCTCAGAGCCCAACATGGGGCTTGATCTCATGAAGCCTGTGAGATCACGACGTGAGCCGAAATCAGGAGCTGGTTGCTTAACTCAATGAGTTACCCAGATGCCCCTATATTTATCTTTCAGAACATAATTTATACAAATTACACATAAGAAGATTAAAAAAGTTTTGAAAGCAGCCTAAATACATTTTTAGTATGTAATGGACTATAAAGCAATCATTAAAAATTTTAAATATGCAAATTAGGTAGAATGATGGAAATTTACTCATTAAACAATATGTAACACAATGGAATGCAAGGCAATATATGCTCTATTTATTAATTGTATGAAAAATCTACCCATGAGTAAAGATTGTATGGCAACACATAGTTATATAGGCAAATTTTATCTAAATTATTGCAATTTAAAAGTTTTTTTGTAAGTATGAAGGAAAATGGGTGCCTGGTTGGCTTAGTCACTTAAAGCATCCAACTCTTGGTTTCGACTCAGGTCATGACCTCGTGGTTTCGTGGTTTTGAGCCCCACATCGGGCTGACAGCATGGAACCTGGTTGGGATTATCTGTCTCCCTGTCTCTCTGCCCCTCCCCCTCTTGTGCTGTCTCTGTGTCTCTCAAAAATAAATAAACTTAAAAAAAATTACAAGTATGAAGGAAAAGTCACCTCAGGATTTCAGATGGGTGGGTGTTCATGTGCTTCAACAGCCACCTGACTTTCAAACACCTCTCACAGTGGCTTGTGTTTTTGTTTTACAGTGCTCATTTCAGGTTCTAGTAAATGTTTCCTGGAGTGGAAAACCTGGGAAGCCTAGCACTGCGGCGGTTGCTGTGAGCACCCAGCATGGATCTATCCTGCAACTTAATGACACTGTGGAAGAGAAGGAAGTTTGTAGGTTCGTATCTGCTTTAATGTGATCTGCTGACACCTGCATTTTCTATTTTTTCATCCCTATTTAGTTTTCAGCTTTTCCTTCCTTCAAAATACAGTATTTTTAAATATCTTTCCTGGTCTGTCACTGCCTTGATGACATTACCATAATCCACTCCTTATTTCCTAATCTAACCATTTTTCTTAAATTTACCAAATTTTTGTAGGCTGGAATATAAATTTGGAGAATTTGGAAACTATTCACTCTTGGTAAAGCACGTCCATAATGGAGTCAATGAAATTGCTTGTGACGTAGTTGTCAATAAGAATCCAATTGACAGTAACCTTCGTACGTATATGCTGTTTGTTAATTTTTTAAAATTTGTATTTCAAAGATTTTAGTTTTTGAGTACTGCTTGTGACACTTTGTGTACTTTAAAACCGGAATTATAGGTTATCTGTCTTATTTAGTTATTTATAATGTATTTATTGTATTTATTGATATTTATTGTACAGTTGTATTATAAGTACATTATATTTATTGTATACTTATGATGTATTTATTGTATTGTTAGTGTATGCTAAGAAAATTATGTGATATTTAAGAAAATTATATGACCAACATATTCTCATAGGTGTTATTTAGTTTAATTATGAAGATAAATAACCAAAAAAAAGTGAATGCAATGGGAACAAACTGGAAATAGGGAAAATGACTGTCAAGTAACTTCCTTGTTTTAGGATATAGGGCACAGTATTCTCTGTATGTGTCTTACATGGACCATCCAGAAGTCCCTTAGATTAAGGAGGGACTGTTCATTCTCTAATAACTCCACTGAAGAAAATCTGTCAGTCTGAGCCCCCATTAGATAATATAATAACCCCCAGGAGCATTAATAAGTACTTGTCTACAGTGAAGCTTTTGAAGACCATAGGGTCAGGTCAAAAGAATGTAAGAGCCCCCCCAAAAAGAATGAAAGAACCAACATGGGACAGTTGAATCATTAAAAAGAATAAGGAATGTCATTGATGGAAACACATTGTATGTACAAAAACCAAAGTTTGTTATGAAAAAAAAAAAAAACAAAGCTGAGGGTGCCTGGGTGGCTCAGTCGGTTAAGTATCCTACTCTTGGTTTCAGCTCAGGTCATGATCTAATCGTTCATGAGATTAAGCCCCAAGTTGGGTGGCTGTGTGCTGACAGCATGGAACCTGCTTGGGACTCTCCCTCTCTCCCTCTCTCTCTCTCTCTCTCTCTCTCTCTCTCTCCCCCCCCCTCCCCTACGCACTCTCTCTCTCTCTCAAAATAAATAAGTAAATTTAAAAACAACAACAACCAAAAAACAAAGCCCCTTCCCTACACAAAAACAATACTTTGGTTGCCTTCGGAGATAACAAGGACCACCTGATGTTAACTGGAGTGACTTAAAATTATCAATTGAAAGGAAGGATCTAAGCATTTATCCTGCCTTTCCCGTTTTTGTTTGTTTGTTTTGTTTTGTTTTTGTTTTATTTTTATTTTAGAGCAGGGGAAAGGGGGCAGAGGGAGAGAGAGAAAGAATTATAAGCAAGCTTCTTGCTCAGCACAGAGCCTGATGCATGGCTCAATCCCACAACCCTGGGATCATGACCCAAGCTAAAATCAAGTCAGATGCTCAACCGACTGAGCCACCAAGGCATCCCATGCCTTTCCTGTTTTAATTGTATTTTAGGATAACTATGTAGTCTGAGATGATAAGGGTAAATTCTTTAGGGAATAATTCCAGCTAATGCATGTGACAGAATGGCAAAATATATGGTAATCCTTAATGAAGGAATTGATGTACACAAAAGTCATGAGTGGATGAAACCATCACATGAAAGGGGAACTTGAGGCTTCCCCCAGCTGACACGTGCATTGGGCACATGGGCATTTGCAGCAGGTGCTCCTGATGTGCAGTGGGAAAGACACAGCTCCATCTGTGAAGCATTCTTGCCAAAAAAAGTTGAACTTTTTTTAGTCAAGTCTTTACAGCTAATTTCCCCTTTATAAAACCTTTGAGGATAGAAGAACAAGTCCAGTGACACCATGAGGAAATATACTGACAGATCTAGAAAAGGAGACGTACTAATAGACGACTTATTTCAAACAGGTCAATGGCTACTTATGATTAGCCATAACATCAGCTGACTGAAGAGCCATAACAAGCAAATACAAAATGGGAACCATGTTTGGGTCCTGATCCGAACACAGTAACTACAAAAAACCTTTTTGAGATAACTAGAGAAATTGGAATATGGTCGCAGTGTTAGCCAGAGAATTGTTAATGACATTGTGATTATATAACAAAGGGTCCATTTTTAAGAAACTTTTAATTTTGAAGTAATTTTAGAAACATTGCAAAAAGGAGTTCCCATTTACTTTTCTCCTAGCTTCCCCTAAACTATGTAATCATAGTACAGTTATCCCATATATATGATCGAAACAAGGACGTTAACATCGGTATAGTGCTATTAACTGATGTATAGGCTTTTCAGATTTCTCCAGTTGTCCCTTCTAAGGCTCCCCCCTTTTGGTCCAGGATGCAGTTCAGGATCCCACAGCCCATTTAGTTGTTGGGTCTCTGCAGCCTTTTTTTTCTTTCATGATCTTGACACTTTTGAAGAGGACTGGTCAGTTATTTTGTTATTTGCACTTGCTTGCAAAGTGCAACATGTTTTTTCTTAACTAGGTAGAGGGCATGCATTTTTGGTAGATTAAGCCTTCTCAGTGTGCCATGTCAGGAATTGCATGATGCTGACATGTCTTTTATGAGGTCTGTGCTTTAGAGATACTTATGGAAGATGGATGGAGGAGATGACGTGATGTCTGGGATTTGCTTAAAAATACTATAGGCAAGGGGTGCTTCTGGGTGGCTCAGTCGGTTAAGTGTCTGGCTCTTGATTTAGGCTCAGGTCATGATCTCACGGTTTGTGTGATCAAGCCCCACATCGGGCTCTGAGCTGACAGTGCGGAGCCTGCTTGGGATTCTCTCTCCCCACCTCTTTGCCCCTCCCCCACTCATGCTCTCTCTCTCAAAAAAAAATAAATAAATAAAAAGCAGAGGGAGAGTAGCAGTAGATGAAGCAAGAGTGACAGTATGTTGATAATACTAGATAATACTACGCATCTAGGGATGTGTATATGTGGGCGTATTATACAAATCTCTGTTCTTTTGTAGATGTTTTATATTTTTCATAATGAAAATTAGCATTCCCCTAATGATGAGTGTTCTCAATTGTTTATAGGAATATAGGAAAGTTAGCATGAGAATATAGGCTTTTCCCTCACTTGTTTCCATTTTTGTTTGCTTTTTTGACTTACAGATGAAATGTAGTGACGTGACAGCTTCAATGCTTATGATGACGTTTTGGTGATACCGTGTTTTCTTTGATTTTTCTAGCTGTGTGTGTCGCTTTCCTTATTGGTGTGGCAATCATCATTGCAGTCTCATTTCTCAGGTTTTTACTGAGGTAAGCAGATGTTAGGGGAGGACACAGTTGGTGGGAGTAGAATATAGAAAAAGGATATTCAGGATAGTTTGACTCTTTAAATGACTGTTATTCTTTGATTAAATGAATGCTTATGTGTCCTCCATGGCCAGTCTAGTCCTGGGTATTAGGGACCATTGTAGAATAAGCGATGGTCCCTGACTTCAGGGAAATGATAACTAGTTTGAATGGATCTTTGCCTTCAATCCTCCCAAATGGCTAAAAATTAGAAGAAAATGCTTGAGAAGGCATTATTTCCAGAAAGAATCTTGCAGCTTGCTTTTGTAGTGAGTGGGAGAAGCCTGGGCTGATTTCAGGAAGCGGCTGCCCCACTGTGTTCTTCGTCCCCCTCTCTGGCTCTGAGCCTCGAGGCCGCCCTCTGGGCCAGCATCCCAACTCCTGCCAGCTGGGCATCCAGCGCAGAGATGGAAGATGGGGGGCTGGACCTTTACACCTCGGCATGGACTCGCTTTGCCCTGGTTAGGACGGGCAGGCAGCTTGGCGAGGGGATTCCTTCTCCCCTGTCTGTCTGGTTAACAGTGAGTCGGGTGAGAGTGAATTAGTAGACTGGAAAAATAAAAAAACAAGAAAGTAAAATAGATCCAGGCCTGTGGTGCCTGGGTGGTTCAGTGGGTTTAGAGTCCAACTTCGGTTCAGGTCATGATCTTGCGTTTTGTGAGTTTGAGCCCCACGTCAGGCTCTGTGCTGACAGCTCGGAGCCTGGAGCTACTTTGGGCTTTGTGTGTGTGTCTCTCGCTCTCTCTCTGCCCCTTCCCTGCTCACGCTGTGTCTCTCTCTCTCTCAAAAATAAATATTAAAAATAGATCTAGGCCTGGCAGATCACCGTTCAAAGGAAAGTTCTTTCATGTTTTTAAAGAAATAAGATTGATTGGAATGCTCCGCCTGTTAGAGTCTCATAGATCACAAGGTATTATGGGTGAGCCATATCTAAACTAGAAAAAAGAAAACCTAGTCTAAGTCTGCCTGCCACCTTGGGGAAACCCAGCAGCTTTGGGGAGTCTATGAAGTCTGGCCCTCTTCCCTTTGTGCATCCCAGAAATATAAGGGTCTGGAAGGGTAAAAGGACTACTACTTGCTCAGAAGCATATTTTTCACTTAACTGCTTTTTAGGGGCAGAGTGTAATTTTAGCAGAGGGGTTTCATTTCTTTGAATTAAGCTATTGTCTTGTCAATCTTTTGATAAGATAAGATGCAGATACTGTTCCAGTTTATTACAGTGTATTCATTTGGTGCTTTCAATATGAATGGCTCTATGACATCACTTTCTAAGGTAATTGGTCTCTGATCTTGAGCTCTTGCACAGGGAAGAAATCACACCTCACTCCACTGTGGAATTGAAATTGCATGTGATTCTGCCTCTGCAGCCTTGTAGGCAGAATGCTCTGCTGGCAAGCGAGAGTCCCTTGTCCCTTGCTTATTACTTTTCAGTGTGCCCGTGGGAGTCCCGGAATGCTTAGGTTTGTCTGAACCAGAAGAATCTGAGGCAGTAGTAAGAATACAGGGTCGCTCGCCTTTCACTGGGAAGACAAGAAAATACAAGAAAATTAAGGGCGTTTTAAAAATTCTAATTTTTAAATATCTTAAGTTCTCCTTTCGGCCTTCCTTAGATGTCTCTGTTTTAATATTTTCATGTGGTGGTGATGTTACCAATGCTGAATGAGGTAGAAAGAAGAGTATGTTGTAGGGAAAAAAGAGAAGAAATAAGAATATGTGCATTAAATATATGGTTCATGTTTAGAAACTGATCTGAACAAATGAACTGGAGAAAAAAACTTATGAGACAAATTGAACCAGCTGTTTGGTGATACTAGGAATTATTGATAATATTTTAAAATGTAATAATGGAACTGTAGTTCTGTTTTCAAAAAAAGAGTCTTTTATTTATTAGAGATCCATACTAAAATGATAAAATGATACCATGTCTGGGATTCTTTAAAATAATCAATCTAAGGCAGGAAAGGGGGCGGTGGGTGGGAGTGTGGATGAAGTAAGATCGACCACACATAATGATACTTTAAAATGTTTATTTCTTTGACTCGTATAGAATATGAACTTCAAATTAATTTTCTTTTAATATGCTATCCAATCGTTTTGAAAAATTTGCCAAAGGGAATAAATTAACAGACTTTTTTATTTATTTACAGTTTGGATGACTTTCATAATTGGATTTCTAAAGCAATAAATTCACGGGAAACTGATCGCCTGATCAATTCTGTGAGTTATTAGAATGCATCATGTGTGGTCTGGGTGGTTTTCTAGATTTGGAATTTATAATTCTGTGTTTAATAATACTTATTGTCTGGCTTAATTAATGTTATTTATATTGTAGAGGGCCAGGTCCTGTGTTCTGTATTCTTAATAAAGAGCAAGCAGCCTTCTCTTCGGCTCTGGTAAAGGGCAGGATCCCCTTCTCTTTTCTAGTGAGTTGGAACTTTGGGCTGCATTGTATGCAGGATATGGAGACATTTTTTCACTCTGCAGGCAGCACTGTTGAGTCAATACAGTTAGGTAGAGGGTGTCAAAAATAAGAGACATCCATATGAAATCTATAAATCAGTGGCCTCCTATGATGGTTAAACATATTGTGTTAAATTCATTATGGACATACTGCTGTCCATTTATGGACATACTTATTTGTAGCCTTGAACCAGATGCACTCATGGACCAGTTTTTTGTGGTCATTGATCAACATGGCAGCTGCAGGCTCAGCAGATAGCACAAAAACCAAATAACGTGGAAAACTAAACCTCTGGGTGGAATCTTTACAAAAGCAAATTAAAGGATTGTGCAGGACGAGTTTTACTCTCTATTCTGTTAATTTCTTCCCTAAAAAACAGATAACTGAAATTTACTTGCCAGCATTATGAACCGGCATGTTTCTCTCCCCGTTTTTCTGAAGGAGCTGGGGTCTCCAAGCAGGGCAGACTCACTCGGTGGCGATACTCAACCAGGAGGATGGTGTCCACCTGCCTCACCTCCGCGCCTCCGCTGTGTAGACACATTCAGGGGGTATGTGGGGCTCCCTTGGGACACGGTGGGCACAGGTATTCCAGGATCACATGTTTGCACATAAACACACTTCTAACTTAAGGTGTTTTTACATATCATTTACCTTGTAGGGTAGGCAGGACTTCTTGCTGTAAAAATAAATCAGTGGTCTCTCCCTTCTCAAAAACTGTCGTGATAGCAAATATAATAGTTGCAAGAGAGAGTCGAGGGGTACAGCCAGAACGTTTCCACTGGTATGTAGATTCTTCTGAGTTAAGGTCATTCACCTGTGGGCAGGCAGCTGCACACGGAGCCTCTATGACCACCTGCACCCCTGTGTCCGGTGAGCAGCTTGCCAAATGGGAGGGTGTGCCGGTCTGGAAGTGAAGCACCAGCCGTTGCTGGTGTCTGTCCTGGCCCTTCCCCACTGCTAGCAGAACAGCTAGAATATCAGGCCCTTTTGGTAGCAAATCCACAGAGTCATACAACAAGTTGTTTTTCTTTTAGAGTTCAGGTAGAAGAGTGAGGGCTAGGACCCAACTCTGAAAATAAAGTGTAAAACTGTATAGCTTGAGCCATTTGCAATGACCTGGATGGGGCCAGAGAGTATGATGTTAAGTGAAATAAGCCAGTCAGAGAAACACAAATACCCTATGATTTCACCCATATGTGGAATTTAAGAAGTGATACTAATGAGCAAAGGGATAAAAAAAGAGAGAGAGTGAGGCAAATGGAGAAACAGACTCTTAACTATAGCGGACAAACTGATGGTTACCTGAGGGGAGGAGGGTGGGGGATGGAAGAAATAGGTGATGGGGATTGAGGAGTGCACTTGTGATGAGCACCAGGTGTTGTATGGAAGTGTTGAATCACTGTATTGTACACCTGAAACTAATATTACACTGTATGATAACTGGAATAAAAGTAAAACCTTAAAAAGAAAAACCTATATAGCTGAAAATAAACATCTAGGTGTCAGGCCTTCCATTTCTGCCCACGGAGGGCTTTTAAACTCCAGTGATAACCTTATAATTCTGTCCCAGCCTCACCAGATGCTGAGTGCTCCTGGGGTATATATTTGAAGCCAGGCAATAATGAGAGTAATGAACATTGGTAACAATTTTTGAATTCTTGCCCTGTGCCAGGCACTTCCTTGTCATAATTTATTCAGTCTCTCCACCACCCTATGAGGTATAAACTTTTAATATGCCTGTTGTACTGATGAAGAGTTAGGTAATTTGCCCGAGGTCGGCTGGGGACTAAGTGGGATAGCCAGGCAATAACCTCACTGACACACTAAAGTCTTCATTCTTCAGTATCCTGCAGAATTAGCATCAAACAGTCACGTATTCAGAGTCTATTTTATCATATTCCTCTTTCCTTTTTTAATTCTCATTTTGCTGCTTTTAGAAATGAGATGTTCTCAGGTAGACTAACATTTATTAAGTGCCTAAAATATGCCAAGCACTGGTTAGGCACCAGGATATACATTATTCTCCTCAGTAGTCCCAGTGGCCCCTGTGGGTGTGTTTCCTCTCTTACAGAGAAGCACATTGAGGTAACTGATAAAAGTCTTGCCCTCGTAAGAGAGGAGGGCCCATGATTTGAGCCCTCAGCTCTAACAACTGTATGCCTTCTATTACAGTTCTTTAACCTGAGACTTCTAAGTGATTAGTGTGAAACTGAGTGATGGGAAACGTTTGCTTTGTTTTCAAGTTACACAGTTTAGCGTCAGTGTAACTTTCTTTTAAGAAATCACGTTGGAGGGGTGCCTGGGTGGCTCAGTTGGCTAAGCGTCCGACTCTTGGTTTCAGCTCAGGTCATGATCTCAGGGTTCATTAGATCAAACCCCATATTAGGCTCTGTGCTTACAGTGTGGAGCTGCTTGGGATTCTCTCTCTCTTCCTCTCTGCCCCTCCCCCACTCATGCTGTCTTTTGTCTCTCTAAAATTAAGGAAAAAAAATCATGTTGGAAATGTTGGCAACAGAAGGGTTTTGTGTTAGGGCCTTAATTACAGTGATTAGAAAGAATGGCTTCCTGCTCTGTAAGTGTCCTCTGTGTTGTGATTGCCCCTTGTGAGTATAAATGTGTCTCTTACAGTTGGGCCATTCCTTGTCATGTGTGCAAGCTCTGAAAGTGTGCCCTTTGCTGCTTTACAGGATAGCTCTCATCCTTATGGTCTTCGTTAATTATGGAGGAGGAAAATATTGGTACTTCAAACACTCAAGTTGGAATGGTAAGATATTTCCTTAGGGTAGCATTGCTTGTGTAGAACCCCTCAAAGAAGCGTGGGCAAGAGAACCTCTCGGCATCCCCTCAGGAGCTCAGAGATGATGCCCCACCAGCCTCCTTTGAGTGCTGAGCTCCTGCCCCCATAGGATGATCTTTGGATGATTCCATTAACCCTTTTTGTTTTGTTCTTGTTTTTGTGTGCTGTGGCCTTGCAGTGGTTCACTGTGGTAACATGTAGACGTCTGAGCTCTGCTGCAGGACCATGGGCCTCTGCAGAAGCTGTTAAGAATTTAGTTGTAAACGATTTTTGTCATATTGTTGATATGTCTTTTTAAAAAAAAATCCTTAAAAAAATTTGTTTTAATGTTTATTTATTTTTGAGAGAGAGAGAGAGCACAAGCAGGGGAGGGGCAGAGGGACAGGGAGACATAGAATCCAAAGCAGGTTCCAGGCTCTGAGCTGTCAGCACAGAGCCTGACGTGGGGCTCGAACTCATGAACTATGAGATCATTACCTGAGCCGAAGTTGGACACTTAACCGACTGAGCCACCCAAGCGCCCAGATATGCTTTTATTCCAGCCACATGGGAGCTCTATCTTCTACGACTCATGGTCCTCCTCAGGGGTGCCATTGAACTCAGGTTGGTCCTGAGTGGTGGTTAGTAATGGCTGTGAATCTGCTCAGTAGTTGGTTTAAGAATGGATTTTGAGTAGCACTGCTTGAAGATAACAGACTTGTCTACACACTGCTACTTTGGCTGTCCCATGCCCAGTTATGTTCTTAGGAAATGTCTCAGGCCTAGTGACCGGTTGCAGAGTCTCCAGGGAGTATCTGTGCGTGTTACTTCCCAGTGTTTTCCTGTGAACTCTTTGCGTGAGTTTACTTTCCATATATATCAGTATATAATGGTGCCAATCTAGATTTAGGATGTATTTACATTCTAGAGTACTTTTCCTTACTCTTGTTCTTGTGTTATTCTCCAGGACTGACGGTGGCCGACCTTGTATTCCCATGGTGAGTTGCAGTCTCCCACCAGCTCTTCCATAGGTCATCCAGGTTTTTGTTTTTTCAGCGGATGCTGGAGCCTTTCTCTGAGACCAGCCTTGAGTTCTGGGCCACAGGCCTATGTTACTCACAGGTGTCTGCTCTCATGAGGTCCTTCTGTAAATTGTGTTACTGGATAGTTCCTATACTTGGCACAGGGCTTGCATAAGGCCTGCTTATAAAAGATGAGTGATTTCAGAGGGAACATTTTGTTACTGTAGATATGGTATTTGAGATCCTGGAATCTTGTAGGAAATCATAAATTCTGAATATGTAGTTACATCCCATTCATCCTGAAAATAAATATAAAAATCAGTTCCTGAAAGAAATGTAGTGTATTGGCATCAGGAAACTCTGATAAGGTATGTAACAGGGTAATGATAGTAATAAATTAAAATGTAAAATAATCCTGGAGTGAGTGACCCACTCCATCACTGATCATCTGTGGTTTGTTCACCTTGTTAAGGGACCTTGACTTCCTGTACAATGTGGAATTTGTGTCTTTGCTTGTGACTCTTGGAGCAACTTTGTTCCATCTTTAGGAGGTAGTACTGGCTGTTGGTTTAGGTCTTTGATCCCTTGGGTTCCATCACTAATATGTGTTCAGGGTTTTTTGCAGGAGAGCTAGGGTTCTTTTTTGAGATGGGTTTGGGGAGGAGGAAGTTTTATATGTCTGAAGACTGGGTAATTACTTATGTATATTCTTTACAAGGTTCCCTATAGGTTTCTGTTCCTGTTATTAGACACTTTTATCCAATTAGGTGACCCCAAGAAAGGAAGCTGGGGGAACCAAAGAGCAAACTCTCATCTTCTGTTAACCCCACATCCAGTAATTAGAAAGACTGCTATTCTGGCTTTTTTTTTTTTTTAAAGGATTAGTATAGTAAAAAGGAAGGAAAAGAGGTGGGTGGCTCAGACAAAATTAGAAAAAAATAAAACTTCCTTTTTTTTTTTTCCAGGCAAAAGAGTGAATTTAGAAATGATTGAAATGCATTGTTTCTCAAGGACTTTGAGGGTGTGCTAGTGAATGTCAAGTTCTGCAGATTGTAGCATCTTCTTCATCATTGTTGTCTTTGACAACTAAAAGGGAGTCTTGTCCTTGGAAACTGCACTCAGCCCTGAAGAATTTTCCTTCTAGGATAGGACTTGACGGTGCACAAACCTTATAGTCCAACAGGGTTACCTTCTGACTCCTCCTCCAATGTTACTTCAATAATTAGCCACTTTGGAAAATCAGGTGTTGCTTCTTGTATGTAGTAGATTATAAAATAGTGATGACATATAGATAAAAAAGTAAAACCACCCTAGAAATGGCCACCTTTTAATAGCTGTCTTTTTTTTTAGGTTTGTATTTATTATGGGATCTTCGATTTTTCTGTCAATGACTTCCATATTGCAGCGAGGATGTTCAAAACTCAAATTGATGGGGAAAATTGGATGGAGGAGTTTCTTGTTAATCTGTATAGGAATGTTCATTGTGAACCCCAATTACTGCCTTGGTCCATGTAAGTATTTTTCCCCTGTTTTTTGTATATATTTGGGTTGAAATAGGAAAACTATGTATCAGAATTAAAAAGAAATATAATTCCTTCATCTCAGGTTCCTGCAAAAAGAACAGTTATTAGAAAAGTGTAAGCATGCTTATATAGCATCGGGTATTATTATTATTATCTTGGGACTTCAGACCTGGGAGGAGCTTCCAAGACTACTCAAATCCTTCTGCTGTCCAAAGGAAGACTCTGAGTCCCAGAGAGATTAAAGTGCTTTCTGTGGATCTTCCAAGTGCAGGGACAGAGTAGAGCCAGATCAGGTCACCTGGTTCTCAGACTCTGCCCTCCTGCCTCTTTGGATTCATCAGCTTTCATAATAAGGCTGTTGTGTGGTAGTTCAACAATCCACCTTGGTTATCACCTGTATGCCTGCTGGGTTGCTGGGAAGGAATATCTTTGTTGTTGTTTAGCAGTGTGAGTGACACGGGAAGCTTGAGGGAAGGACACACACCTTGTGCCTGGGACCAGCGTCAGAGTCAGGGAAATTGGTGGTGGCTGTACTCAAGGTTGCTGTACTCAGTGTCATTAGTAAAACAGGACATAGTTACCTGGACAAGAGTCATATGGTCCCTTCAGCTCAGAAGCACATTAGGAGGAGGTAGAGGTCACTTCCATTTGGGGTCTATAAGGAAAGGTGTCACATAATAGTTGATTCAGTGGATCTTCAAAAAGTGAACCACTGCTCCCAGGAGGATACATTGTAGGGCTCATTACATGGTCACACTCTTCCAGTGAGTAGTCACGTAGCCTGTAGGACAGGGAGAATCTATTTGTGGCCTGTGCTGGCTCTGCAAGTTGATGGTGGATGTGAGAGCTGGTTGAACCCATGCCCGGTGTGACAAAGGGCCAGGGGAGGAACCCCAGGGCCCAGGTAGTCCTTGCTTTGTCCCACACCCAAGGAAGACACGTATTCTTGTCCCCATGTCCCAGCCGGCCACTTCCAGCTGTGAGGTTGAGCCGAATCCCATATGTATTACTATCTCCAAGAGCTTCAAAGTGTACTTAAGTACAATAGAGGTATGCTTTCCCCCTTAGAAAAAAATAATGTTGTCTTGGGCAGGAAGAGGAATTCTGGCTAACACTTTACTTAACTTGTGCCTTCTATAGTGTCTTGGGATAAGGTGCGAATCCCTGGTGTGCTCCAGCGGCTGGGGGTGACCTACTTTGTGGTTGCCGTGTTAGAGCTCATCTTTGCCAAACCTGTGCCTGAAAGCTGTGCCTCGGTGAGAAAACCTACTTTTAAATATGGTGGGGCTGGGGGTGCAGAAATCACTGTATGATTTTCAGAACCTACTTTAGTGCTGAGCACAGTACTGTATGTCAGTAGACTCAGAGTCAGTAGACTCTGTTAGTCAAATGCATTATTTTTTTCCTTCAATTAGTTATTTTTATTTAGTCTTTACATCAATCGTTTTTCTTTATTATGGGGAAAAAACACATAACATGAGATGTCCCCTCCTAATAAAATTTTAAGTGTCCAGTGATCAGATGCATTTTGACGGCATTAAATAATATCACCATCATCCAGTTTGCTAGTTTAGTCTTTTGGGGCATTACTGCCAATTTTTTAATTCCTTGCAGTATAAGATATATAGAAACTCATGAAACATTTCAGTGTCTATATACATGCTGTGAAGATTCAACTTGGAGGAAAAATGCCAAGGTAGGGTGGAGGAGAATGACAGTATTGTCTTTGGCTAGTTAGTATTTATTTGTAGGAGGTATGTGAGAGTTTCATTTCTTTCATGATTGCTTTCTTTCTTTTTTTTTTTTAATGTTTATTTTTGAGAGAGAGGCAGAGAGACAGAGTGTGAGTGGAGGAAGGGCAGACAGAGGGAGACCTAGAATCCAAAGCAGACTCCAGCTCTGAGCTGTCAGCACAGAGCCCGATGTGGGGCTCGAACCTCGAACCGCAAGATCATGACCTGAGCTGAAGTTGGACGCTTAACCAACTGAGCCACCCAGGCGCCCTTGTGATTGCTTTCTGTCTTAATATAAATTGCTCAGTGAGTTTACCCAGGTGGAGCTTTTTTTTCCCTGGTAGAGGTAAAAATTTAGGAAGAAGTGTTAAAGTTCTTCCACTTGGGATCCTACTTAATTTATAAAGTTGTCTTTGCTTTCTAGCTCCTTTCTGTATATGTAACTAGCATATTCATCACTGAACCCCACACTCACTTGGCCTTCCCTGCATTGATTGTTCAGTTATATGTCCTTGGAGGGGATTGGATCATTGTTCCTTCACCTGTTCTGCCCACTCTGTTGTTGTATGTGTCCCCTCTGCTATGGCTTTTCTTGAGGTGAAGCGAGAGTAGACATGAACATGGGCTTGGTTAGCCATGTGTGGGACCTAAGGTCTGTGGAGGCTCCTCCACAGCCACCATGATAGAGTAAGGGGTGGGGTGTGACACCAAGAATAGGTGGGCTAGGGGTGCCTGGGTGGCTCCGTTGGTTGGGCATCCAGCTCTTGGTTTTGGCTCCGGTCATGATCTCATGGGTTTCGTGGGTTTGAGCCCCACGTGGGATTCGTGGGATTCTCTCTCCCTCTTTCTCTATCTCTCTGTCCCTCCCCCACTCATGCTGTCTCTCAAAAATAAATAAACTTAAAAAAAAAAAAGGATAGGTCGGCTATATTCCTTCTTTCAACCAGGACAGCTTCAAAAGTTTAAATTTCATTTTCCTTTTTAAAAATGTATTTTTAATTGCTTTTTTAATGACACCTTTATTGAGATATGTTTCACATACTGTAAAAGTCACAAGTTTGAAATGTGCAATTCAGTGACATGTAGTATATTCACAGAGTTGTGCAGTCATCCCCCCTATCCAGTTCTAGAACATTTTCGTTATTCCACAAGAAACCCTGTACTCACTACCAGCCACTTGCCGTTTCTCCACAACTCCCCCAGCCCTAGGCAACTCCTCATCTATTTTCTGTTTCTGTAGATTTACCTGTTACCGACATTTCATATAAATGGAATTTTATAATATGTGCCTTTTTTGTTTGGTGGCTTTCACTTAGCATATTTTTCAAGGTTTATCCATGTTGTGCCATGTTTTAGTTCTTCATTCGTTTTTACTGCTGAATAATACTCCATTTTATGAATGTCCCACCTTTTGGATACATTCATCAATTGATGGGCATATGACTTATTCCCATTCTTTGCCTAGTATGAATAAAGATTCCATGTGTATTTGTGTATAAGTTTTTGTGTGAACATCTGTTCTCAATTTTCTTGGGTATAGGAGTGGAATTACCCAGTGCTGTCTTTTTAACTAATGTTTTATTATGATATTTCATGGAGAGGGGCAGCTAGACCATATGATACATATGAAATAAACGTGCATCTAGTTTTATATTACTACCATCAAGGCCAGAGAGGAATCACACAGAATTTCCCCAATACATATATGCATCTTTTTTTTCCTGTTCTACTTGCATGTAGTTCATATATGTGTTTTTATGCCCCTCACTCAGGAGAGAAGCTGCTTTTCCCTTCGAGACATCATCTTCAGCTGGCCCCAGTGGCTCTTCATTCTGATGCTGGAAAGCATTTGGCTGGGCTTGACATTCTTCTTGCCTGTTCCTGGATGTCCTACGTAAGTGAGCTCATGTACGTAATCCCTTTTTGCATGTCATTTTCTGCCAGGTCAGAGCTTCTGGGGTGATAGCTTGCAAATTTCCCAAGAGGAATTCTCTTTTACTCTTTCTTCTTTGAGGCATAGTGCGTATTGGGAGAGGAGTTGGGTGGATGTTCAGAGGAATGTCTCCGTGAGGCTTTTTCAGGGTCAGTTTGAACGCAGGCTGGCCTCCCACCTTAGCACGCAGGGAGCAGTCAAGTCCAAAAAGCATTGCTGTAGGGTAACATGGCTCCGAGGGGTTGCATTGTGTGAAGCCACTTGTTGGGCTGCAACAATTGCCAGTATATACCCTGAGCCCCTCTGAAGTCTTGTCAGTGAAGTACATGTTCTCTTTCCCAGTGGTTATCTTGGACCTGGTGGCATTGGAGATTTGGGGAAGTATCCAAATTGTACTGGAGGAGCTGCTGGCTACATTGACCGCTTGCTTCTGGGCGATGACCACATTTACCAGCATCCTTCTTCGGCCGTGAGTGAGCCTAGCTTGCACTTAGAACTAGACATTTGGGGGGTTTGAAGTGAGAGAAAACGGAAGGGGCTGGTCAACTGGAAACTGTCCGTTTAGCAGACTGTGATGGGAACTAATTTTTAGTTGAACACTTTGCTGATTTTGGAAATTTAATGTTCATTAAATGTGTGTATTCATTAATTTGGATTGGAAAGTCTGAATGCACTGTGTCAAGCATGCGGCAGGTGCTTTTTCCTGTAGCTCAGTTAGGCTTCCTGGCAGCCGAGTCTGAGTCTGAGATTCGTATGCAGGGAGCCTATCAGGCCGTACTTTTGGGATTGACACCTGCTAGGGATCAGAGGGATCAGGAACTCGAAGAAGGGGCAGTTGGACTGCCTCATAGTCATACCGCCTTAGTTAATCTCCTGGGGGGGCTGTGCTGGTGCTTTACAGTTGTTCTGGAGTGAGAGATCGGGCCCTTGTTAACCCTGGTTGGATACAGACTACCCCCAGCAAGGGAGTGTGGCTCCTGGAGAGGCAGCTCTCTTCAGTCAGGGACAGATCCAGAAAAGGGACTTGGCTGAGAGCTTTCTGGCCATTAATATTTCTACCAGCTCAGGAAACAAATGCTTTAGTCCTGAGAGAAGTGGGGCAGGGGGATATCTATGTGATGCACTGTGGCATCCACTACACTGTATATTTCCAAATTTCTGCAATTTCCATAATAACATTTGTTTTATAATAAAATAATACATACACACACACGTATTTAAATATTTATTTTGAGAAAGAGAGAGAGAGAGAGAGAGAACATGAGCAGGGGAGGGGCAGAGAGAGGGAGAGAGAGAATCCCAAGCAGGTTCCGCACTGTCAGCACAGAGCCTGACACAGGGCTCGAACTCACAAACCATGAGATCACGACCTGAGCCAAAATCAAGAGTCAGATGCTTAACTGAATGAGCCACCCAGGTGCCCTAGTACAGGTATGTTTTTAAATGTTAATTTGCCATAAGAGAAGTTAGGAAAGAACATCTTTTTGATGTTACAGTAGGGTTGACCAGGTTGAATAAGCCTAACAGTTATGAAGGTATTATGCACAGTTTTGGAACTGGGCGGGGAAGCATTGTGTCCCAGGGCACATGAGGTTGAAGTGGCTGCTCTGGACCACGGCTTGTCCCTGGGCTCTGTGTTCCTTCTGGTGTCACACACCCCACACTTTGTCACCCAGAAGTATTCTGCCTGTAATCCCCACAAATTGGCAGTGAATTTCTGCAGCAAAAACAAAAAACATTGAATTCTGGAGTGTACTCAAGTTTGTATTTAGTCTCTGAGTTGTTTGTGTGCGTTTCATGGTCAGTGGGTTCTGCCTTCTTTTTCTGCTTTGTGAAGGTGCTTTATCACACCGAGGTGGCCTACGATCCAGAGGGAATCTTAGGGACCATCAACTCCATTGTGATGGCATTTTTAGGAGTTCAGGTATTTGTTTATTTTATATAGCTTATGATTATTGATTCATCACTAATTCAAAAACTATTTCATTAAGTAACTGGAAGCATATCTTCTGTGGTATAATACATTCTGTTTATATGTGACAAATGGTCAAAACTAGAATTTGCTAAAATTTAGCACATTGAAATAATTCCATATAATTCCTATATGCTTCCCCAGATTCTCATTATTTATGTGGCTTATCTTAGCAATAGAAGCACAGCAGTTTGTGGGCAAAAAGGTTTCCCTGCTGGAGTGTACTGGTGATGTTGGGAAGCCTCAGTGTCACTTGGCACATTTCTTTCATATACACTTTGTATGGTTTCAAGTTATGCATATTTTATGCCAGAGTCAATATAGGTGGTTCTTGGTGTATCTTATGTGCAATTTTGTTAAAATTCTGAACAGCCTAGACTTTTATCCCCTAATGTTCTCCTTATTGATGTTTGAAACTATTGTTTGAGCAGAACTAACTGGAAGAGGAAGAAGCCTGTAAAGCAGCACTAATGGAATGTTCCGTGACAATGAAAATGTTTTTTATGTCCATATGGCTTTTAACTTGAAATGTGGTATACGAGCATGACTGAGGAACTGAATTTTTAATTATATTAAATTAAGTTTTATTATTAAATTTTTAAAATGTTTACTTTGACAGAGAGAGAGAGAAAGCATGAGCAGGGGAGGGGCAGAGAGACAGGGAGAGAGGGAGAATCCCAGCAGGCTCTGTGCTGTTAGCTGTCAGCATGGAGCCTGATGCGGGGCTCAAACTCATGAACCATGAGTGAGATCGTGACCTGAGCCAAAATCAAGAGTCGGATGCTTAACTGACTGAGCCACCCAGACATCCCATGTTTTATTCTTTTTTTAAATGTTTATTTATTTTGAGAGAGAGAGAGAGGAACGGAGTGAGCACACATGAGTGGGGGAGGAACAGAGAGAGGGAGGGAGAGAGAGAATCCCAAGCAGGCTCCGTGTTGCCAGCACAGAGCCTGATGTGGGGCTTGATTCCACGAACTGCGAGATCATGACCTGATGAGCCGAAATCAAGAGTACGATGCTCAACCGACTGAGCCACCTAGGCGCCCCTAAATTTCATTTAATTTTAATTAATTTAAATTTAATTTCAAATAGGCTCATGAGGCTAGTGGCTCCCATATTGGATGGTGCAGGTCTAAAGCATATACATTTTGGTGATTTCATATTTAGAAATACTGCTTTATACTTATCTCTGTTGTACTTTATGGTTCACAGTGGGTACTTTTACATACGTTCATTTAATCCCCGTGTTTGCTCTTGAGGTAAGTCTGTGCCTGTGGGAGCAGCCTAGGATAGGGTTCAGAGCGCAGACCTGGGTCCACACCGCCTGGGTCTGAACCACATTCTACCACTTTCCAGCTGGGTAGCCTTCAGCACGTCCATCCGTCTGTGCTCCAGCAGCATCTACCTCATGACGGTGTTGAGAGGATTAAATAAGCTAATTTATGTACAATTCTAAGAACGGGCATATAGAAAACATTCATAAATTTTAGCTTAATTACAAATTATTATGAATATTTTCTTATCCTTTTATGCTTTCAGAAGTCATTTCCTAATTTCAGGGAGTTTTTATGCAAAGTCCAGATTGTACTGTTTCTAAAGTGTTTCTCTGCCTCTAGTTCCACCCTGTCCCCTTCTGTACTGCTGCCAGAATGGGCCATCTGGCAGGCCGTCAGAGGTCGTCCCTTGTTACTAGTTTTTTTTGGGGGGGTAGGGGGGGTAGGGGAGTGACTTTCCTCAGCTCCCTCTCACCTATGGGAGAAAGCCTGTGCCTCACAGAGAGACCCACAAGCCCACCTGCCTACCATCTTCCTGCCCATCCCAACCCTCTAGCCTTTGACAATTACCTGCAACTCAGGGACACATGCTCTTTCAGCCATTTGACATGCTTCTGTGCATTCTGTTCCATTCTGCCCAGATGCCCTTCCTGCTCTGCAGTCGTAGCCTCAACCCGATGGCACTTCCTCTCTGGCGTTTCCTCCCCTCCCGAGTTGTCCCCTGTGCCTTGGTGTCTAGCTGTCTAGGGCAGGGGTGACGTTCCATCCCAGCATCTAGCAGCGTGCCTGGCAGACGAGTGATTAGGACACTGGATGAACATGAAATACAAATACACCTTAAGCAGGTCTCTTGGTCATCTGTGTTTTCCTCTCCAGGCAGGAAAAATACTCTTGTATTACAAGGACCAGACCAAAGACATACTGATCAGATTCACTGCCTGGTGTTGTTTTCTAGTAAGTAACCTATGTTCCTCACTGAAATTCCTTCCACACGTATATTTCAAAGAAATAAAATGTTTAGCAGCAGCGGATAGCAGCTATCACCACATCACAGTAGCTGCGTTCTTCACTGGAGTAATGGAGAGAAACAAATCTTTATACCTAAACTCTCAGGTTAGTTTTCTTAGCCAAATGTCTTTATAAATGAGAGTGTTTGCTGTCAACCAGCTGGCCAGGAATGCCTGAGGAAGTGGTGTGGGTTCTGGTGGGGAGCCAGACCAGAAAGACCAGGCAGACAGCACATTTCCAAAGGTCCGCTTCCAGATCTCCAGGTGGCAGAGTTGAAAGTTTGGCTGTTTGTTTTATCCCTCATGTTTCCTCTCTAATTTATCAATTACTTTACCTTCAACTCAGAAGAATGCTTTGGAGATGTTTTTAAGAATATTTTTTTGAGAATATCTTTAGCTATGCATCTTGAAAATATTTTTCCAGTTAAAAGAATAAAATATAAAACACAATTTTCAGCCCTCCTTAAGCAATTAATGTATTTTCCAGTTTTGAAACACAGTGGTTTTTTTGAGATAATATAAAAAACTAACGTTCTCCCTCCCCCCCCCCCCCCCCCCATTTCAGGGGCTTATTTCTATTGCTTTGACGAAAATTTCTGAAAATGAAGGCTTTATTCCAATAAACAAAAATCTGTGGTAGGTACAGAAAACCATGTCATTTTCATGTGGGTTGGTCCTGCTGATACTGGATGCGTTCCTCGGGAGCCTGAAACACCCCGTTCACCTCGTAGGTCCATTTCCTATGTCACCACACTGAGCTCCTTTGCCTTCTTCATCCTGCTTATCCTGTACCCTATTGTGGACGTGAAGGGACTGTGGACAGGGACCCCGTTCTTCTACCCAGGTAAGTCACCCAGAGTCGATGATGGCGACCAAGTGGGTCAGCCCAGAGACGCTGAGCACGCCCAGTGCTACGTCCCTGGGCCCCCGGCCTCAGTGGCAGATTTCCAAGATGCAGGCTGAGGGAGAAAGCAGCCGGGGCCACACTGTCCCAGGCCATGTGCAGGACGTCCTTGGCCTGTTCTGATGCCGTCCACCCATTTTATCTGTTTAGATTGTGGGGTCATAACCAAGCTCCACTTGTTTCTTCAGGAAATGCCGAGTTACGGAGCATCAGAAACCATCCAGGGCATATTAGCCAGCTTCTGACACTTCAGCAATGGGGCCATGCTTGCCTTCTGAGTGTAAATATACTACCTTACAGATTACGCATAAGAAATATCAAGAGATAAACAGAATGGTTTCCATGCAGTTCTACTTGAAGACTCGCTTTAGCCCTTTGATTCTTGTAATAGTTACATTTTTCTAACCCTAGAAAATAGAAGTTCATAATTTTGGCTCTCCTGGCAGATTTGGTATTCACGGATTACACTGTCATAAATATTTTCTGTTTTTGATCGAGCTTACATGTAATAGTATCTAAGATACACATCATGTATTTTTGGCAGTAGCCAATAATGTAGGTGCAAGCTTTTTGGTTTTTTTCACTGAACCCAAGTCAAATTTCCAGAATTAAGTAGATGATCAGATGTGGCTCAGGAAAGCCTTACCTTGTGCATCTCTCCTCCAGGAATGAATTCTATTCTGGTGTACGTTGGCCACGAGGTGTTTGAGAACTACTTCCCCTTCCAGTGGAAGCTGGGGGACAACCAGTCACACAAAGAGCATCTAACTCAGAACATAGTCGCCTCTGCACTTTGGGTGCTCATTGCCTACATTCTCTATAAAAAGAAGGTTTTTTGGAAAATCTGACAGCTCCCACCCAGATGTGTTGCTGGCAGACTCTAGTGGGCCTGGGGGATGTGTTGAAGCAGCCTTTATTAGAGGGAACCATTAATTAAAAATCGATAGGACGTGTGTTTCCAGATGATGGGGAAGAACCCGATGTACTCTGGCTGGTTTACTGTGACACAGCTGTTCATCAGAACCCTGCCTGGATATTTGGGACTTCTGTATTTGCAATGGAGTTGTCTTTTTTTCTCCATCTTCTATGTAAATGTATTTAGAACCTCATTCTGAGGATTTCTCATATAACTTTCCAACAGGGAATTACCGTGGGCATTTTGCGTCTGTGACGGATAAAACAACGTAAAGTCTAATTTGTATTGACCTTGTTTTCCTGCAAACGGCCTTTCCACATGCACACGTGCCAACCAAGAATACCATCATTTCTGTTGCGGCTGACTGTGAGGCTTATCGAATATGAGGTGTAGTAATGTAGCCTAATATTTTCTGGTTAAGTGCACTTTAATATTTCAAGAGAGAGTAATTTCCTTTTCAGATCTGCAAGGCATTGCTGGGTCCAAAAAATGCCTTTCTATCAGAAGCCATTCTCTCCTGTTCCCCACTTGAAAAAGAAGTTAAAATATAAGTGTGTTATTCCCAGTCACTCTTGCTCCTAGTTCCCTACTTACGTACCTGTTTGTTTGTCTGTCTACCCATCTATCTGTCTTTCTGTGTGTCAGATGGTAGCTGGCACCCAGGGTACAGTCGTGGCAGAGAGAAAACACACTGTCTTGCTTGTGGTGCCAGTTCCACCATCCTTGCCATGTGAGATGCCAGCAAGTCTTGTGGCCTCTCAGGGCCTCGGTTTCCTCATTTGTGAAATGAGGGAGAAAGTGATGACCTCTCTGGTCCCTTCCAGCTCTTAGGCTCAGTGAGGCAGGATGATACATCGATCGTTTTTCTGAAATCCTTAGGAAAATAATTTTATTACAGAAAACTTCAAAATAAGTGATAATGAAAAGGTTAAAAAACTCTCATTGGAGTAAATCTTTTCAGAATGACCCTCCACAGTGGAGGCAAGCAACTTTCCCGCTTGGAATCCTAACACCGAAGACATGGTTTCTCAGGAGTGAAGACAGGAGAGCACGCAAAGGCAAACAGCACGTTTCATATGATGCATCATCATGCTTCTGACTTTTCTGGGAGAGTTCCGTATAGAAGGAAAGGTGGAACAGGTTGTACTTCGCGTGGTAACCCGGGGCCACCTCCACGGGGCTGTGGCTGTTGCCACTGACAGACGGCTGTCTGGCTGGTGTTCCAGCTTGGACCTCTACCCCGGACCCTCAACTCCACTGTAACGGCCCGCTAGACCCTCCGCCTGGACGCCCGCCAGCACCCATCCTCCCTTCTTCCCGCCTCTCTTCCCACATTCAGACTTTTCATCTGGATTTTCCTAGCTCGTGGATGGGTCTGTTTGTCTCTAGGTATGAAACTCCGTCACATTTCACCCCCCTTTACCTCCTCTATCCCCCTGTTTTCCATATTTAGCCATTCCCCTCTCTTGTCACTTCCATCCCATCTTCCATCTGAAAAGCCTGCATTCTCACTGTGGCTGCCTTGTTACTTCAATCCGGGCTCTTGTAATCATTTGTTTTTAAACCTCTTTTTATATATTTTGAGAAAGGGAGAGACAGCATGTGAGCGGGGGAGGGGCAGAGAGAGAGGGAGACACAGAATCCGAAGCAGGCTCCAGGCTCTGAGCTGTCAGCACAGAGCCCCATGTGGGGCTCAAACCCATGAATCGCAAGCTCATGACCTGAGCTGAAGTTGGACATTTAACCAATTGAGCCACCCAGTTGCCCCTGTAATTATTTTTAAACGGGCCTCCTCCCTCAGCCCTTCCCTCTGTAAAGTCGCTATCCATTGCCTCTAAGTTAAGCTTTATAAAGCAGAACTTGAGTAAGATCACCTCTGCAACAGCTTTGCCTGGCATTATGTATAGAACCACCCTCAGGGGAGCCCACACGGCTTCCAGACACATCTTCCAGCCACCTGTCCCATGCTGGGCCCACCTTCCTCCTCCCGTCTCAGCACTTAGCACCTCCCGCTTCTGACTTTGGAGTCTTCTGGTTTATTTTTTCCCCTTAATTTGCTCCCGTGTACACCTGACCTGTAGACCCCCTACTTCTAAGGCAACTTCTCTAATCTCGTATTTTCATCCAAAAGTAGTATTTTCTTCCTCTCATAATACTCTACTGGGATCAATCCCATGGCATTTTATCGCTTTCTGCCTCGTATGATGGTTCCTTGTGTACATGTCTAATTTCCTGCACTAGACTGTGAGCTTGAGGGCAAGAATTATGCCTTGTTCATCTGCGTATTCCTCCTGGTGCAAACACAGTGCCTCGTACTTAGGCGCTAAATAAACATTTATTAAAGCAAAGCAATGGCGGTGGCTTTTTTGACAGTATTTTAAATGCTGATAAAATGAGTGTGTGTGGTGTGCCCCATGAAAATGTGCATGGAGCTAATGCGTACAGGGACAGGTACTGAGGAAAGCTGCCGCTCCCCTTCTCTTGCAGTGAGCCACCGCACATGGTCACGGTGTGTCATCATCCCAAATCGCAGCAGGCAGAGCTAGTTGGGCCTCTCCAGATGAGTTATCCAGAAGCATTTCTCGAATGGGGGAGTATTTCAGGGTGTATGGAATCGGAAGGACCAGGTAGTCCTGATTCAGCCTGCTTGCAAGGAAAACTTACCTCACGGAAGGCCTGAGGTGGGCTGGCTCCTGCACACCTCCAGGGGCTCAGCCAGCTCTCTTCACTCTGAGGGAAGTCACAGCATGACTCCTAAGATACCTGACACCTTGCTCTTGTCAAGCTAAGGTTGTTTTCCCTCTGGTAAGGCATTAACATTATGACTGAGGGGGGTTCCTGGAGAAATGGTAAACTCTGTATTTGCCTCAGTTATTTGTCAATGGGCTGCAGGTTATGATGAAATTTAATTTTACCTGTCATTTCCTTCTTGCCTTTTTTTTTTTTTTAATTTTTTTTTTCAACGTTTATTTTTGGGACAGAGAGAGACAGAGCATGAACGGGGGAGGGGCAGAGAGAAAGGGAGACACAGAATCGGAAACAGGCTCCAGGCTCTGAGCCATCAGCCCAGAGCCCGACGCGGGGCTCGAACCCACGGACCGCGAGATCGTGATCTGGCTGAAGTCGGACGCTTAACCGACTGCGCCACCCAGGCGCCCCTCCTTCTTGCCTTTGTTTGCCACATCACTATGGAGGGGTGATGTTGAGGCTCCAGGAAACTGAGTCGATAGGTTTCTGGAGGTGGCTGTTGATAACACTGCCTTTTAAATCTTGTAATTTACCAAGCAAGATATTTGTAAACTGGGACTCATGTCCAGTAAGACTGTGATCCCTATCAGTTGGCCATTTGTTTTCTTTCCTCTCCTTTGTCCTGGGGCAGCCAGAAGTGCCTGAGGAGTTATCGCACACATCCCACCTGGCAGGGGGGACGGGGCAGTGTGCTAGCCTGCACTTTGTCCTTAGCCCACCGTTTGCTCCCTCATTATCTAATTGTGTATGTCAAAACACTGCCGTTGACAAGAGATGCCATTATCTTGCTGGCTTTCCTTTGCCAGCAAAGAATTCCATCCAAAGTGCGGGCTGTGAGGACAGCTGGCCTCACTCCCAGCTAGTGGTGAGCACACGGCTTCCCAGTGTCTCATTACCATTTTGGGTTCTGGTGGAATTCTGTCCTATTGGAGCTTTCTGTATAGAAATCAGTTCTGTGGGTTTCCCACCTTTTATGGCTGTTCTTAAATTTGCTGTGGTTTGTAGCCACGCCCTTCTACTTCAATACAGGAGGTAGTTTTCCTTCTGATATTTAATTGAACTCCAAAGGTGGTTCAGCTTGTGAACTGGTCCCTCCGTCTAGCCAAATCCGGCCTGTGTCAGCTCTGCGCAGGGACAGTTTGTATCAGTTTAACATATCCCAGGTGATGCCTCCCAGGTCAAAGAGAAACAAAGCCAGCTAATGAAGAGCTGAGGGCAGACTAATACTACTGCAGTGGGGGCTGGTGTGAACGGAAATCGTTTCCTGGAAAAAGAGTCTGGAGACTTTATTTTTTTTTTTTTAAATTTTTTTTTTTCAACGTTTATTTATTTTTGGGACAGAGAGAGACAGAGCATGAACGGGGGAGGGTCAGAGAGAGAGGGAGACACAGAATCGGAAACAGGCGAATCTGGAGACTTTAAAGGCTGGGTGTGCGGGAAAGCCACCGAGGGCGTGATGGGGTCGGTCTGTGTGACTGGATTTGAGTTGGCGCTTCTCCTTGTGATGGGAGGTGGTGGTGCCAAGTGCAAAGTGCCCGCCTGAGGCCCTTTTTCTCCTGGATATTTACATTTCAGAGACAGCTCTGGGTGGTAGTTTTACATCTCAAAGGGCAGCGGAAGGATTTATAACTGCCAGCTTTCTAAAAATGCTCTGGGGAGGGGGGTTTTTCAGAGACCTATCTGTTCATCACCATGTTTTGGCTGGAACATGTTTTGGCTGCAGCTTTCTCAGGCAGGCATTTTAAGGGGGGCCTACATCACCCTGGGTCCATGGACTTATGGACCAGCTGCTAGAAGCTGTCCTGGAGTTGGGTTTGGATGACTCCTCATGTGCCAGAGGTCTGCAGCCTCCTCCTGGCCCCTGCCTTGTCTGCAAACTTGATCTGAGTTTCGTTTTACTCTATGGCATTTCCCCTGCAATTCTTCACACAGGAGGGGCACCACTGAATTATAAAAGATGATTGGTTCTTTTTTATACCTACACATTTGGGTATCAGAAAGTCTTGTTTTCATGTATACTGCCCCCAAACACTGATCTGAGGAAGGATTATAAAACCAAAAGGTAAGAGTGTTTAATTTGAAAGCTGTTTTGGGTCCAACACACTCCTCGATAAAAACAGGATGGTTTATATATTTGTAATCAACTTATATTAAATTGGCAAAAACTTTTAAAACGAGCTGGGG